CTGCTGACAGTGTCAGTGGAGACACTTGGGAGTTGTGACAGCAGGTATAAGTATAAGGGTCTTCATGGGCACCGATTCTGGAAACGCTCAGGGGTGGGTGTCGGGCAGAGCAAAGGATGCAGCTCTGGCCGCCTCTGTCACCGTTCTGTTCTCGGGCAGGCTTTCCCCACGTGGTGGCCGAGGCAGCTGCCTGCAGCCCGCTGGGAGAGAGCCCCTCCTTCCCAGTTTCAGCCCTCCCTGGCCGGGCGTGGGGCAGCACCCCTGCCTGAACCAGCCTGTCCGGGGGAGGTGAGGGGCTCTCAATGCACCTGGGCCACCGGCCCGGGAGCCAGGGGTGGAGTCAGCCAGAGCCGAAGAATGTTCTCCGAAGGCTGATGAGGCAGCGCAGGAAAGGGCATGGGGTCAGCACGCAAAAGCCACAGGTGACCCCGCCAAGGAGCAAATCCAGTTGTTGTTGTTAATCCTGACCCGAGGATATTTTTCCTTGGATTTTTAGAGAGAGTGGAAGGGAGGGGGAGAGACACACAGAGAGAAACATTGATGTGAGAGAGACACATGGATTAGTTGCCTCCTGCATGCACCCTGACCAGGACCAGGGATCGAGCCTGCAACCTAGGCACGTGCCGTTGACCGGAATCGAACCCGGGAATCCTTCAATCCACGGGCCACCATTCTAACCACTGAGCCAAACTGGCTAGGGCCAAATCCAGTTATTTTTCATTTTTGACTAAGTAGAATATTAACACACTTCCAAAAGCCAAAAGTAAACAAAAAGTAGGAGGGATACTTCTGCCCCGTTTCCCACCTCTCTTGTGGGTAACCGATTTCACTGAGTTCTAACTTCTCTTCCTCTTTTTCTTTTCTGTAAAGTGGGTAGCTGTATGTTTTCGCTTCCTCCCTTTTTTTACACCAAAGATGTTTGTGCTCTTGTGTACTTGCTTTTTCACTTAACAAGGAAAAATATTGTTACGTAGCCATACTAATTCTTGCTGTCCTGGTGCGTGGGGCGGAGATTGACGTATAAGTGATGGTGCGCCTGTCAGAGCACGCGAGGCGACGGCCAGCCCTTTCCTCTGGGGAACAGCGTCTCTGTGCTCTTCTCCTGGGCTGTGCGTGAACCTCTCTCCTCTTCCACTGCAGATGGAGGCAGCTATCCCGTCCCCGGCTCCCAGGCCTCCAGCCTGAGCTCAGAGGGCGAGAGTTTCCCCTCGAGCCCCACTGGACACAACTGGGAGATGAATTACCAAGAGGCGGCCATCTACCTCCAGGTGAGCATCTTGGCCCTTCTTGGTGGGGTCGGGAGGCGGGGCTCTGTTGGCTGCCCAGGAATCCAGTTCTGGCTTCGGTTCTCTGTGCGTGAGCTTCTCGCCTTACGGTGTGGAGAGCCAGCCTGATGGTGCCTGCACTGGATGGGCGAGGTACGTGGGCTCGTCAGGTGACCCCAGCTTGTGGCTCCACCTGCCCCCAGGCTCCCTGAGTCCAAAGCCATCCACCTAGTAAGTTGCAGAGCATGATGTAAACTTCATCTATCTAGTCTCCAAGTGGTGGTCTTTCTTCTGTACGTTGTTGCCTCATTTCTATAGCTACCACATGTATGCGCTTGAAAATGAGCCGTGTGGTTGTGGGAAAAGAGGTTACAAAACAGGACTTGTATGAGCATTGTTGTATAGCATTTATGTACACACACACACACACACACACACACACAAACCCATATATAGCTGTTTATATAGATACAAGAGGCCGATGCACGAAATTCGTGCACGAGTAGGCCTTCCTTCCCCCGGCTGCCGGCACTGGCTTCCCTCTGGCACCCGGGACCCGGGCTTCCCTTGCAGCCCCGGCTTCGTCTGGAAGGTCGTCTGGAAGGACGTCTGGTTTAATTAGCATATTACGCTTTTATTATTTTAGATGTACTAGTATATAGCTACAGATACCTGTTTGTGTGTGTGTGTTTGCACAGACACCCATTCACATCTGGAAAGTTTTTTTTTTTTTTTTTTTTAATTTTTTTTTATTGCTTAAAGCATTACAAAGGGTATTACATATGTGTCCTTTTTTTTTCCCCCCGCCCTTGACAATACCCCGGCTTCCCCTGGAAAGTTGTTTATCTCGATATTAAAGGTGATTATATTTAGCTGATGGAATTTTTACAACCTTATAATCCTGTGTATTATTTGAATGAGTTTTACCCAAAATGCACCTTAAAAAAAAAAATCAGAGCAGAACTGCGATCTCCATGAGCAGTATTTGTGGCTGTTTCTGGAGGGTGGGCTGAGCCGCTGTCGGATGGTCTTCCTCTTCCTGCTTCGCGCTGAGCTGCAGCGCAGACCCTGACCAGGTGGCTGAAGACCCCGACCAGGTGGCTGGTGTACTTGGCTCATCGGCCCCTTGCTGCTAGAGGCTGCCTGGCCCCTGCAGTTTCTCCTCTTCCCAGAGTTTATCTGTCAACTCCGTCACCTCGGGAGCCGGGTGTCAGCGGTCGTAGTGCCTCCGAGATGGTGGTTGTTTGCTGTGTGGGCTTCTGCTCAGGGAGCGGAGCGTGGAGGCCTGGACGTCACGTAGCACTGGCCGCCTTCTTGTTTTTCGTAATCTCCTTCACGATCAGCAGCCAGGAAACAAGGCCCTTGTTCTCCCTCCTTGGGGTCTGGCGCAGCACCCAGTGACCCGGGTCATATTTCACTCCGTGCTCATTGGTGGTGGCCTCAGCCTCCACCTCCTCGGCGGCCATTCCGAGTCCTAGAGTTAAGCTCGAGCCTCCCCCCTCTAGTCAGACCTTCCCTGCTGGCTGCTTGTGGGAAGAAATGTCCCAAGAATTGCATTTTTTAATCATCCAAACCAGAAGCGTCCAGGCCGCCGTGGGCGTCGCGCCATGGGGCAGCGTGAAAACCACAGCCCTGCGCAGATCACAGGGCCGGGAGCCAGGCCTGCCCCCTGCCCTCTGTGTGACCGCCGGCGTGTTTGTTCCCTCCGTGGACCTGCCCCGTCCAGTCTGTGGTCTGTCTTCATGTTTTGGTACTGAGAGTAGTGACGCATCCAACTTCAGGAAGCAACTTCTTCAAAGCTCCTCGGCAAACCACAGTCTAGGCCAGCGCTCCCCGCCTCCCAGCTACTGGGTGATTGATTGGTCGCCGAGCGGGGCTGGCGCCGGGAGAAGTGGTCTCTTGCAAAACGGTTCATCCTACCAAACATCTATTAAACACCTACTGTGTGTACCAGACACCGTCCCAAGTGTCTTCCCGGAGCCCCATGAGGAAGGGGAGAGCCGTCTTGCTGACAGCTGGAGAGGGGGTAGCCCAGGGAGGCGTGGGGCGGCCCCTGCTTGCTGATCCCGGGACCCTCCCCCCTCCCCTCAGCTCTTTACATTCTACAGACATTTCTGAGAGTGAGCACCTGGCCTCGAGGGACCAGTTGTGCCCAGTTCTCTACTTTCTCTGGACCTTTTTTTAAAAAACACATCGTTATTGATTTTAGAGAGGAAGGGAGAGGGAGAGAGAAACATCAATGATGAGAGAGAATCATCGGTCGGCTGCCTCCTGCACGACCCCCCACCCCACTAGAGATTTAGTCTGCAACCCGGACATGTGCCCTGGCCGGGAATCGAACCTGATTCATAGGTTGACACTCAACCACTGAGCCACTCTGGCCGGGCTGGGCCTTTTTTTGTTGTTGTTGTTAATCCTCATCCGAGAATGTTTTTTCCATTGAATTTTAGAGAGTAGAGGGAGGGGGAGAAACAGAGAGAGAGCAACATTGATGTGAGAGAGACATCAATTGGTTTCCTCCTGCACAACCCTGACCAGGGCCGGAAGTGAGCCTGCAACTGAGATGGGTGCCCTTGACTGGAAATGGAACCCACGACCTTCAGTCCACGGGCCAACACCCTAACCACTCAGCCAAACCGGCGAGGGCCCTCTGGACCTTTTATTCTTTGATTCCTCCACGTGGTTTTTAGGAATCAGCAAGCCTTTTAAGCCCCATCAGCAGGCCAGGGCGAGACTTAACTGTGCACGGTTTGTGGCCATAAGACTTGAATTTCCATCGTCTTGTCTCTGGCCTGAACCTCCTCTTACCCGCCAGGCCCTTCCTCTCACCCTGGCCCACGGCGCGGCCTTGGTGCTGTGCTCAGAGGCTCGCCGCCCCCGTGGCTCTTGTTTCCGCAGGAAGGCGAGAATAACGACAAGTTCTTCACCCACCCCAAGAATGCCAAAGCGCTGGCGGCCTACCTCTTCGCACACAACCACCTCTTCTACCTGATGGAGCTGTCCACGGCCCTGCTGCTGCTGCTGCTGTCGCTGTGCGAGGCCCCTGCCGTCCCCGCGCTCCGCCTCGGCATCTACGTGAGTGTCCTGATGGCTGGGAGCCGCTGCTCCCTGCGGGCAGGTGCCAGGAACCTCGCTTGGGCTAATGCGAGCTTAAGCTTAAAGGGGAACTTTCTGGAAGGGCAGACAGTGCGAATGGATTGAAAACAGGCCCTGGGAGGCCCTCGAGGCCTCGGGAGCAGCAGTGACTCGCTGGTCCTCTGGGGGTCCCTGTGGAGCAAATGCACTTTCCTCACTCAGTCTGACTGTGATTCTGCTCACTCGCTCGGAAGTGCCAGGGAGGGTGCCATCTGATGGCCTTTCTTGGGACCAGCGGCCACACCTCGGCGCCAGGTGGGCAGCGCACAGCACACCCGATGGCAGTCCCTCCCACTCTTTCCAGCCTCAGAGGAGGGGCGGTCGGGTGCGATGGCCAGCGGAGGACAGGGGCCCGGCGATGCCATGTCTCCGCACCCTGTGGTTGCAGGTCCACGCGACCCTGGAGCTGTTCGCCCTGATGGTGGTCGTCTTTGAACTCTGCATGAAGTTGCGGTGGCTGGGCCTCCACACCTTCGTCCGGCACAAGCGGACCATGGTCAAGGTGGCGTGTCCATCTCCTCACAGCATTTCCTCCCCTGGCACCTTCAATCCCGTCTCTTCACTTCACTTCCAAATCCCCCGGCGCTCGGAAGTGTAACCCGGGGTCCCCACCCTCGCTGCGCCCCAGCCTCGCAGAGCCGTGCTCCGAGGTCGCGGCCACGGTCACGCTGACAGCAGCTGGTGTGATTCGGAATTTGGGGCGCCGAGCACGGGCGCGGTAACCCTCGCGGCAGATGCATTACTATTCCTAGTTCACATCCAGCCACAGCAGAGAATGGGCTGTAATCCCGCGAGAATGGGATTCAAACCCAGGTCTGGCTGGCCCCCAAGCCCACGCTGACCTGTAAGCAGCATCGGACACGTTCTCTCTGTGCGGCAGAGAGAGGCACGAGTAGGAATGCGTCCGAGTGGCACTTTGCAGTGTAAAAGGCATGTACAGTTGTCCAGAGAAAGTGCCCGAGGAATTGAAGAGCGAGGTGTGCTTCGGACCTATCTCAGAGGTCTTCACGGTGCAAGTCAGGAGAGCCGAAGCCAGGGTTGGTAGATGTGGCCGGGCAGAGTGGCAGGGTTTTTTTGTTTGTAAGAAATAAAGGAGTGGGGGAGACAGAAACATTAATGTGAGAGAGACATCGATTGGTTGCTTCCCACACTCTGACCAGGGGTTCGAGTCTAGGTACGTGCCCTTGACCGAAGTTGAACCTGGGACCCTCCTATCTCCAGGCCAACACTCTGCACTGAGCCAAACTGGCTGGGGCAGTTTTTTTTTTTAAAAATATGTTTTTATTGATTTCAGAGAGAGGGAGGGAGAGAGAGAGAGAGAAAAATCAATGATGAGAGAGAATCCTTGATCGGCTGCCTCCTGCATGCCCCCCCACTGGGGATCGAGCCCACAACCTCCGCATGTGCCCTGACCGGGAATCGAACTGTGAACTCCTGGTTCATGGGTCGACGCTCCATCACTGAGCCACACTGGCTGGGCTGAGTGTCAGAGTTGCTCAGTGAATACCCTGAGGTGCTGCTGGGAGCATTGCCCTCTGGGTCATCCTCCTGCGACCACACACCAGTGCCACAGCCCAGGGCCCTTCCCCAGGGGCTGCTGGATGTTGGGGGTGGGCGCTGGAGAGAAGGGATGGGCCTCCCGAGACCAGGGTGGGCATTCCCTAGCGAGCCCTGAGCTCAGGGCATTCGGGAGGCGTCTGGGCGGAGGAGCTGACGCTGCTCTTTGCCCGTCCGCCCCCAGACCTCCGTGCTGGTGGTGCAGTTCATCGAGGCCATCGTGGTGCTGGTGCGGCAGACGTCCCACATGCGGGTGACCCGGGCGCTGCGCTGCATTTTCCTGGTGGACTGTCGGTACTGCGGTGGCGTCCGGCGGTAAGGCCTGGGGGAGGAGCTGCTCAGACAGTCGCTATCCTGGCCTGGCCCGGACCCCTGGGCCAGTGGAGCAGGACCCAGTGAGTCAAGTAGCCATAAGATCCATCCTGCACGTCGGTAGAGTCTAACTCAGCACGCTCACCTCCCTCTGTCTCTCGACCCCACAGAGAGGAAGGCTATTCCCCCCGAAGCTTAGGTGTCCCGACCCCAGGCCTACGTCCCAGCTTTCCCTAAGCAGAGGGGCTGGCTCCTCTCCAGGCACATTATCTGCCCCAACACAGCAGCAGCAGCGCTCGTAGCAGGCAGCTTGGCAAAAGGTCCACGTGACTCAGGCTGTCCTGGTGCCTCCCCGGAGACCGGGGCACTGCACCCGAGCAGACCGTCAGCCTGGAGTTAGACTGAGCTTTGAGGTCCATCTGGAGAGTCCATTGGCTGGGGGACTGTTGATAAGAATGGGCTGGCAATTCATTCTCTGTGCATCCTCAACGCAGGACACAAGTGTCCTAGGGCCAGGTGGCCCCGAGCTGTCTCCATGCCCCCCACTTATCGGGGAAGCGACCTCTGCACCGAGTCTGTGCCCTCAGCCTTAGGGTGCCCCCCCCCCCACACACACAGGGAACTCCCCGCTGGACCCCGCAGGCGGGAGGAGGGGGTGTCTGTGCTGCACCTGCCTCCCTTCTCCCTGTCACCACTGAGTGCAGGTCCTGCAGGACAGCACTGAGTGTGATGTCACTAAGCCGGGGCGCAAGGGGGGTTAGTGTTCCGAGTCAGGAGCACCAGACCCGGGTCTCCATGAGCACGTGTTCCCCTGAGGAGTCCGGACCACGCTCCTCGGGCCCACCCCGGGCTGCGCCTCACCCCCGCCCCCCGACCCCCCTGTCTCCCCAGCAACCTTCGGCAGATCTTCCAGTCACTGCCACCCTTCATGGACATCCTGCTGCTGCTGCTCTTCTTCATGATCATTTTCGCCATCCTCGGTGAGTTCCCTGCGCCGGGACCAGGCGGTCTCTAAAAGCAAAGTCACCATGGGAGGAAAGCTTACTTTGATAGTTTTGGAAATTCAGAAAGGTTTTACAAGTGATATAAACAGCCCTAGCTGGGTTGTTCAGTGGTTAGAACGTTGGTCCGAGGACTAAAGGGTCATGGGTTCGAGTCCGGTCAAGGGCATGTACCTCGGTTGTAGGTTACAGGCTTGATCCCCAGGTTGGGGCGCATGTGGGAGGCAACCAGTCTATGTGTCTCTCTCATGTCGATGTTTCTCTCTCTGTCTCTCCCCCTCCCTTCCACTCTCTTTAGAAATCAATGGAAAAAATATTCTCGGGTGAGGATTAACAAAAAAACAACAAACAAAAACCAAATGATATAAACACCCAGGGACTCCAATTTAGGAAATGAAGAGTTAGAAATAAAACGGAACCCCCTTTGTAGCCTTTCATGACCTCAATTTCCCCCCAGAGGTGCCTGCGTCCTAGGCTTAGCATTGCTACTCGTGTCTGTATAGTTTCACTTTATGCTTATGTTTCCTTAAGCAACACATAGATTCTATTATTGCTTTGCATATTTAAAATAGTTATGTAAATGGTTACGAAACGTGGTGTCCCCTTCTGCAAGGTGCTCTTTGCTCAACACTAGGCATGTGACGTTTATTCATGTTGATGGATGCAGATGTCACAGGAGGGTAGTGAATGGGCCCAGATTTATTTATCTGTTCTCTTGTTGGTGGGCATTTTCCACTATCACAAGCCACAGGGCAGTGAACGCTCGTGTTTCCTGGCGGACACGTGGAGACTTTCCCTGCGGCACGCGGAGGGCTAGGGTCTGTGCACTTCAGCATCACTAGATATAAGAGCAAGATCACGGCTTTCTGACCCCGAGGAGGCCTTGCCTCTTCAGAGGAGGCCGAGGATTAGTGCGGCATCCCATGCAGACACAGGGCTCCGCCAGCGGCGGTCCCGGCACGATGAGGAAGCTGAGGCCCCTCCTCGAGTCCTGGCGTGGCACAGCCAGTGGCCCATAGTGCTCTGACTCTGCGGCCAGCCCCCGCCTCCGTGACTGGTGTGTCCCGAGCTTCTGGCTCCCGTTCCACCTCTCTCCACCATCTGGGTGGCACTTCGTGCTCCAAGGGGGCTGACTTCCCCTGAGGGCAGACTTTCCCACTTCTCCCACAGGATTTCAAGGACTCAGAGGAATAGCCCATTCAAAGGAGGAAGTGAATGCCTTTTTAATACTACACTTGATGGTGCTCGGGTCACATTTCCGAATAGCTGTGGTCACCCAGTGCCCGGTAGCACCCGCTTCCTTTACTTCAGAGCATGTGTTCCCCAGAGTGCGCAGTCTCCACCATTCCCTATGGTCTCCCTCGGCGCACTGCTCTCATTTACGTGTATTGGTCCAATCCTTTGACATCTTTTCAATCTGTTTTCTGCTACCTTCCAGGTTTCTACTTGTTCTCCCCTAATCCTTCAGACCCCGTAAGTAATCACCGTGTTTTGTCCGTTTCTTCCTTTATGTGAGGCCATTCCCCTCTGACAAGGTGGCTGGGCTGACTCAGTGGTTCGTAAACTGCGGCTCTTTGGCCCCTTAAGTGTGGCTCTTCCTAAGTCTTAGGAGTACCCTAATTAAGTTAATAACAATGTACCTACCTATATAATTTAAGTTTAAAAAATTTGGCTCTCAAAAGAAATTTCAATCGTTGTACTGTTGATATTTGGCTCTGTTGACTAATGAGTTTGCTGACCACTGCTTTAGCTACATTAGGGAGGGAGGCCTGCCTGGCTTCACATCCCAGCTGACGGCCCCTAAAAGTTCCCATCACCCCGACTTGAGCTGTTTTCCTTCCCTGCGCATTAAGGGGCGTGGTTTCCTACCCTGAGAGTCGTGTTTCCAAGATCAGATTTGGAACATGGGAACGTTTTGGTGGAGGTTACAGTGAAGGAGAACCAGGCTAATTGTGCAAACGTGATTTTCTGGGAGAAAAGTCCCAAAGTCACTTGTCTGCTTCTACCAGAAGCGTGGAACTCAGGAAGGCGGAGTCCTTACTCCAGTTTGCTCATCCCTCAGGGATCCTGTGGGAGGAGGCAGAGTTGGTGGGGTGGGGCGGGGCAGGGAGGGCAGGGCGCTCCGGGGGCCCATCGCAGGCTGGCCCAGGCTGCCGTGCGTTCTCGGGCTGGCCAGCATGCCCTTCTGCCTCCTTTCCCCAACAGTACTTCAGCACCCTGGAGAGCAGCATCGTCAGTCTGTTCGTCCTCCTGACCACAGCCAAGTGAGTGTGGGCTCTGCTCTGGCTGCTGCCCTCGGCTCGCGCCCAGGGTCTTCCCAGCCCAGGACATTCCCCGTCTCAGCCCAGACAGTGCTCGGGGCACTGGGAGGAATGGGGTTGGCCTGGTGACTCGGGCCCGGGGGCTGAGAGCCGGGACGGTGGGGTGGGCTGGGGCTGGGAAGGCAGGAAAGAGAGATGTCCTTAGAGAAGACGGAGGCGGGCAGACATGGCCCCACAGGCAATGCCCTGCAAATGCAGTTTCCCAGACGTGATGATGCCTTCCTACTCCCGGAACCCCTGGTCCTGCGTCTTCTTCATCGTGTACCTCTCCATCGAGCTGTACTTCATCATGAACCTGGTGAGTGACCGTGTCTCGTCTACGCTGGGGGCAGCCGCCACAGTGCTGGGTGCCATGGGCATGGAAGAGGAGGCTCTGCATCAGCAGGGGCTGGGGTGCCAGGCTATAGCCAGGTGTGGGGTGGGGGCCAGCGTGGCAGCCTCCCTGGGTTATTCCCGTCATGGCTGCTGATGGTGCTCATGTTGGAGCAAGGCTCCCCCGGGACCTTTTCTTTCTCACCGCAGACATATAACAACTGTTAAAGCTGGCACTGAGTAAGCCTCACCCAGGCTCCGTGCAAAGTGGATTAAATGATTTAACACCACAGCCCTAGAGGTCCCTTTATGATTCTCAGTGTGCAAATGGGGAAACTGAGGGTCGGGTGGATAGAGTGACAGACCCACGGCTGTGCAGCTCGGGGTGGCCAGGCGAGCTGGTGTGATCCAAGCCCTGCTCGGAACCGCTCGGTCCTTCGGCACCCACGTCCTGGAATATCTTGCGTATTTCCACCCCGTTTATCACGAACCACTGGGAATCCCAATACAGGACACACTGTTAGGGGCAGGGGGAAGTCCCCGTGCACACTGGGACTCTGGAGGCATTCGAAGAGGCGCGGCTGGCCACCAGGCATATTCCTGCCATCGGCCAATCACCGTTAGGCAGGTGCCAAGACAACACATCAGCATTGGAATTACCAGGGAGAGGCTCTTACTAATCTTGTGTTTTTATGCTTCTGAGGAGCATTCTCACACCAGGCATCACAGCCAGGCCCGCGGTAGAAGACACTTGCTCACCCTAGCCAGTTTTGCTCAGTGGATAGAGTGTCGGCCCATGGATTGAAGGGTTTTGGGTTCAATTCTGGTCAAGGGCATGTACCTTGGTTCCAGCCTCAGGGCGTGCAGAGAGTAACCAATTGATGTTTCTCTCACATTGATGTTTCTCTCTCTGTCCCCCTCCCTTCCACTCTCTCTAAAACACAATGGAAAAATATCCGCAGGTGAGGATTAAGAAAAAGAAGAAAATGCTTTCTCAGGAGCAGACATGTGAAATCTAAGAGTGTGAAGTCTTAAAAAGGAATGTTTTTTAATCCCTCAAAACCAAAAAGAAATATGTTAGCTATCTTCATACACATTACAGTTCTTATATCCGTCCTTAGTTTAGAATCATAACAACGTATTATGCGTAATTGATTTAATTTGTTGTGAAAATCCAGGGTGGGGGGGAGGGGGTCCGTGAACCGCAGCCTGCTGGCCAAAGCCTGCTCTTGTAAATAAAGTTTTATTGGCACACAGCCACGCCCATTAGCTTCCGCATCCTCTGTGGCTGATTTCGTGCTGCAACTGCAGAGACCATCTGGCCTTCAGAGCCTGAAATAGTTGTTGTCTGGCTCTTTATGGAAAGGTTTGCTGACCTTTTCTTGACCAAAAGGAAAAAAATTGGAGGGGGGGCCATTTGACGGAGTCGAAAGGACAGGAGAGTTTCCCTCAAAATATTTTTGGAAGAAAAAGAAAGTGCTTCCCAAAAGGCTTCTTTCAGATTCCGCTCCCGCCCTCCCTCGCCCTCTGCTGATGCAGGCTGTGCAGTGACCGGGCTGACCTTGGGATTGGGCGGTTCCAGAACGTTGGGCCCTCGAGGAAGGCCTCCTGTTCCCGATTCCTGGGCCAGTGCACGAAGCTGTGACTCACCAGGACGGGAACGAGGGGGCTACGGGGGAGGCAGCCTCCATCATGCTGATGCTCCTCCGAGCTCCGGGGCCAGGAGGCCACAGGATGGACACAGCCTCCCAGGCCTTCGGCCTTTGGCCACCGGCCACCAGACTGAGCTGATTGGGGCATAGAGCCCAGCATGAGCTTCCTTCCCACCTTATAAAACTGCCCAGTCAGGGACGAGCTGTAGGTGAAGTACCCAGGGAAATGTAACAACGTTTTCGTGTGTCTGAAGAGAGAAAATTTACAAGTGGCGATACATGGCCTTCCTCTTTGACTTGGAGACAAACTCCTACGAAAGGGTTACCCCAACCCCCTGCCCCTCCCTGGGTCGGGGCATGTGTGTGGGGGGGGAGTGCCCTCTAGAGGCAGAGGGTACACTCCCGACCCCTCGAGGTTGCACCGCTCTTCCCTCACAGCTTCTGGCCGTGGTGTTCGACACCTTCAACGACATCGAAAAACGCAAGTTCAAGTCTTTGCTGTTGCATAAGCGAACCGCCATCCAGCACGCGTACCGCCTGCTCATCAGCCAGCGGGTAGGGGCGTGGGGCCAGGCCAGGAGGGGTTTGGTCCCCAGTCCCCCTCCCTTGCCCTGGGCAGCCCCTAAGCATGGCAGGCCACCAGCTTTAGAAACGGGAGTCCTTGCCCACTGGGCGTGGCTCAGTGGTTGAGTGTTGACCTGTGAACTTGCAGGTCCCCGGTTGGATTCCCCGTCAGGGCACATGCCTGGGTTGTGGGCTGAATCCCCAGTTTCTCTCTCATCGATGTTTCTATCTTTCTGTCTCTCTCCCTTCCTGTCTCTCTTAAATCAATAAAAACATATCTTAAAAATAGCCCTAGCCGGTTTGGCTCAGTGTTAGAGCGTCGGCCTTCGCACTCAAGGGTCCCGGGTTCGATTCCGGTCAAGGGCACATGCCCCGGTTGCTAGCTCGGTTCCCAGTAGGGGGCGTGCAGGAGGCAGCCAATCAGTGATTCCATCTCATCATTGATGTGTCTATCTCTCTCTTCCTCTCTGAAATCAATAATAAAAAGAAGAGAAAAATAAAGCAGGGGTCCCGCCCTTGGTAGGATAAGAAGGAGCTGGGCACCCGGGATCCAAGCCGTGCTGGGCAGCCGGAGTCGTCGCCCCCAAGGGAGGAGGCAGTGGGGCTCTGCCTTTGCCTGTGTTGACCTGCCTTCCTTCCTCTCCCCCAGAGTCCGGCCGGCATCTCCTACAGGCAGTTTGAAGGCCTGATGCGCTTCTACAAGCCCCGGATGAACGCCTGGGAGCGCTACCTGACTTTCAAGGCCCTGAATCAGAGCAACACCCCTCTGCTCAGGTAAGAGTGCCGGCCAGGTGGGGGCGCTGTGGCCCACGGAGGTATTCAGGGGAGGGAGCTGGAGCGGCCAAGGCACCAGGAAGTAGGTGGACAAAGAGCCTGTTAGAGCAGTGGTTCTCAACCTTCCTAATGCCGCGACCCTTTAATACAGTTCCTCATGTTGTGGTGACCCTCAACCATAAAATTATTTTCGTTGCTACTTCATAACTGTAATTTTGCTACTGTTATGAATCGTCATGTAAATATCTGATATGCAGGATGTATTTTCCTTGTTACAAATTGAACATAATTAAAGCATAGTGATTAATCACAAAAACAATATGTAATTATCTATGTGTTTTCCGATGGTCTTAGGCGACCCCTGTGAAAGGGTCGTCGCGACCCACCGGTTGAGAACCGCTGTGTTAGAGGCTTTAGTTTTCGTCAGGATTCTCTCTGCAAGTGACAAAAGTTCCACCCAAATTTAATTCAGGCTCACTTGACAAAAAATGGAATATATTGGATCATGAAGTAGACTGACCCAGCTGCTCACTTTTGATCTAAGAATGAGTGGGGTTGTTGCATATGAGCAGGTCCACAGAGGGGTGTTCGCACCCTCACACGCGCGCGCGCACACACACACACACATATGCATGCACACACACGCACACGCACACGCACACCACGGCGCAGCCTCCGAGATTTCCAGGGCAGTCTCGACTTTCTAGATGGCTGATGACTGAACCCTTCTTTTTAGTTTGAAAAGAAGCAGGCCAGCTGCAGATATGAGCGTGAGCGAGTTCTGTTTGGGCTGAATTCTCAGCCCATTTGTCCCATTAAGTTCTCTGCTAACGGAGGCTCAGCCCCGTCCATGTAAGAGTTATAGTGATTCAGGGGGCCTGAAGCTGTCACTCAGACTGAGAGGATTACGTATTCATAGGGCCTGGGAGAAGGTCAGAATGCCTGCAGGGGAGGTCCTCCCTCCCCCACTTATATGCTGGGACTCCCAGCTGTCCCCTCCCCCTTCCCCCTTCAAACGTGACCACAGACAGGCGAGTGACACAAGTAAACCTCAGTGGGAGCGTTCTGATTTTGTAAATTTTGTTTTGCCTTTTCCTGTTGCTGTGACAGCCTGAAGGACTTTTATGATATCTATGAAGTCACCGCCTTGAAGTGGAAGGTAAGACCAGAGAGGGAGCAGGTAGACAGCTCCACGGAGGGCGGGGGGGGGGGGGGGGGGGGAAAAGGCCCAAAAGCCCCCAGGGCCAGTTCTTTTTTTATTTTTAAAAAAATTTTTTATTTTTTTCCAAAAGGAAGGGAGGGGGGAAGAAAAACATCCGGGATGGGAGAAAACATGATCAGGTGCCTCCTGGCCCCCCCAAACGGGGGGCCGGGCCTAAACCCTGGGGATTTGCCCCCGACCGGGAAACCAACCGGGACCCCCCGGGTCAAAAGGGGCCCAACCCCTAAGCCACCCGGGGGGGGGGGGGGGCCCAATTCTTTCCTGGCTGGAACAACACCTCAGTTCTGGGCACTTCAGGGACCCCAGGGGCCTGGGCCCCCCATCTGCCTTTACACGTGTGATACAGTGTCCTAGTCACCCCCCTGAATCTTGGCCCCATTAGTCACCCTGTGACTTCGGGCCACTTATCTGACTTTGGCCAGGTCGTTGCACCTGGGAAATGGGCTAACAGTAGTTCTGACCTCCAGCTCTTTTCAGGACGATATAAAATAAGGCACGTGCGTGGCCCATGGAAATGATCCGTAGCCATTGGCTGGCCTTATTGTTACTTAGATCCCGGGGTGTTCTTCCTGTTCCCCAAGTGAGAGCCTGGTGAGCAGGGAAGGACCGTGGCCTCCTGGCCCCCAGGGTCAGGTTCTCATCCCTGGTCCGAACCCCTCTCCCACGGCCCTGTTTCCTGGGCAGGCGAAGAAGAATCGAGAACACTGGTTCGATGAGCTTCCCCGGACAGCCTTCCTCATCTTCAAAGGTAAGGTTCCCCCTGAAGGTGTGTTGTGGCAGCAGGAGAGACTGATTCCCCAGCAGGGACATAGTGTTAGGGACCAGGAAGGAAATCGGCAACTTCAGAACCAAACCAAAAGACGTCTGTGGACTATCCGGTTCATTAAAGGAAGTTTACCAAGTCCGATAGCAGAAGACAATCTCCCACCCAGAAATAACCACTGTGCGTGTTCTGATGGGTTGCTTTCTGACATTGGTTACTTTTTCTGCACATTTTAAAATTGTGGGACCGCAGTATGTATTCTGTTCTGAAACCTGCCTTTTTACCGGCTGGTGTATTTTGCCCTCCCCCCTGTGGCAGGGTGTAGACCCAGTGTACGTGATCCCTTGCGCAGTATAAAATTCAACCATTTTACATCCGAGTGCCCGTATTGTTTACCGGACAGTCCCCCCTTCACTTAATGCCAGCTTTCAAGTTGTACGTGGGGGTGTGAGCTCACACGGAGTTTCTCGTGTAGAAAGCCCGAAGCCTGGGTCTGGGCCGCCATGAACACGAGTAACGGTGGGAGAGCCTTGTTTGTGATTTCTCCCACCGCTGGGGCGCTGGGCGCAGCTGTTACCTGATGTTCTCTCACGGGTTTTCCATTCTGCTGAGATGATAGTGACTCAAGTGGGTGAGGAAATGGTCCCAGGCCGAGGCCTGCAGGATTGTAGGTTTCAGCAGTGGCAACAACGCCGTGTTCTGTTCTGTCCCGGCCTGGGTTGCCCAGTCTGTCCCCAGAGCAGCCGTGGTCTGTGCCGCTGTGTCCGGGTGTCTGAGCGTCATTGGCAGAACAGGCCCTTCCGTTTTCTCCCCTGGACATCAATACCCTGGTGGCTTACGTGCACGCACTATGGAGTCGGGGAGCGCGTACTTGCACATGAAGACTTCGATGCTAACATTTCCTCTCTTCCAACAGGAGTTAACATCCTGGTGAAGTCCAGAGCCTTTCAGTATTTCATGTGTAAGTGCGACCCACCCAGCTCTGGGCCCTCTGCTCCCGGGTCTCACTCCCCCAGAGGGTGGGAGGCCGGAGATCGGTCCCACAGTCGCCGTGTGGACTGCTCATCGTAGAAAGTTCCGGGGGACGTCCACGTGCCCGGCACCCAGCCGAGGCAATCACCACCCAGTGGCCAGTCTTCCTTGTGCACCTGCGCCCTCACTCGGGCTCGCTATACCCTCTAGGCCCGGAGGTTTGGAAGCAAATTCCAGAACCACAGGGTGTGATGGGTGGATAAGTCACTTGGGTCTGTTTTAATCTGTAGGTTCCTCCTCCGTCCCTCTTCTCCCTCTGGCACTGTGTAGTTGAAGAACCAGGACTGTTCCTCTTTCCTCTTGTTTGTTTGTGCATATCCCCTGTGACTTATTTCCGGTAATTTTACATCTTGTCACCTCCCCCAGTGGGCACCTTTTATCATGGCTTATCCGTCCATGTTTTAAAATCTCTGAATGGGTGCATATATATGCACATATCTCTGTCTTCAGTAAACGATAGCAGACTTTACACACTTTTTTTTTGGTTAATAATAAATCCTGGAGACCACGCCACAGTAATATATAGAGATGTCCCCCTTTATTTTTATAGTTGATAGGCCATCTTTTTTTTTTTCTAATCTTCACCCAAGGATATGTCTTCTTATTGATATTTAGAGAGAATGGAAGGGAGAGAGAGAAAAACGTCAGTGTGAGAAGCATTGATTGATTGCCCCTCGTACACACCCCAACTGGGGTTCGAACCCACAACCTTCCGATGCATGGGATGGTGCTCCAACCAACTGAGCCACCTGGCCCGGGCGGGTGCACCTTGTCATGACCGCATCGTAGTTTATTCCACCGGTGCCATCCTGACCACCTGGGTGCGTTCTGATGTTTTGCCGTCACAAGTAGTTCTCGAGCGAACAGCTTTCTGGTACCTGGTGCTGTGTGTTTGCTGGTGTTTCGTTGGGAGGGGTACCTGGTGGTATGTTTTTTGCTGGTGTCTTGTTGGGTTGGGTTCCTAGCAGTGGGATTGCTCAGCAAAAGGCCAGATCCATATGCATTTTGCTAACTATGCAGTCATTTTAAAAACCAGACATCTCGAAGGAAAAACAAATTCTTTCAATACTCAAACCCTTTGTGTATTGTCCATCGTTGATACTGACTTAGAGTAATAGGTTTTACTGGAACATCTTAACTGTATCCCTGCAGTGACAGAGAGGGGGCTTTTAGAAATTCGTAGCTGTTTCTGAGCAAAACCAGCAGTTGATTTAGCTCATGTAGTAAAAGCACTAAGTGGTCACCTGTCCCATGGGTGTGCGGAGCGGCCCAGAAATTAACCAGGTGTGACCTGTAGGTTTCCATGCAGGCCTGTGCTTCTCTGTCTATTGCAGACTTGGTGGTGGCAGTCAATGGGGTCTGGGTCCTCGCCGAGACCTTCATGCTGAGAGGTGAGCCGGCTGGGGGCCTGGCCCGCCCGTGCGCACGCCTGGCCTGCCTCTTGAGCTGCGGCCTCTCTGTCCTACAGGTGGGAACTTCTTCTCCAAGCACGTGCCCTGGAGTTCCCTCGTCTTTCTTACTAGTAAGTCTCTTGTTTGGACTTGGCTTTGCCACCGGCTTGTCTTAAACACCGGTGGGAGGACGTTCATTGGTTTAGGACCTCATGGCTCTGAAACGGGGAAGCTTCAGGAAGCAGAAACTGGGTCTGATTCCATCCACCCGTTTCAGACTCTTCCCTGGCTCCTCTGTCCTCTATCTCATCTCCATCCCGGCGTGCTCACATCCCCGGCCGAGCGGGGTCCCTCAGCCACCGGGCCCCACCCTGCAGCCCACCTGAGCAGTGCCCTGCTCCCGAGTGCCCCGTGCCCTTTCTCACCTCAGGGCCTTTGCACGGGTGTTCCTTCGCCTGACCGACATTCCCCTCCTCCTCTTATAACCCTGAGGGCGCTGTGTCATCGCCCACTCACAGTCTCCTCGTGTCTGCACTCTGAGCTCTGTAGGAGTGGGCACTGCACCGTGCTGGTCACTTTTGCATGTCCAGCACCCAGCACAATGCCTGGCACCGAAGAGGTGCAGGCAATACCTGCTGGGTGGACAGAAGGGTGGCTGGGCCGTGCCCAGAGAGGGGGAGGGAGTGGAGCCCATACTCTCCCGTGGGGCGTGGCTGTCCAGAGGGCGCACAGCCTGAGGGGGAGGCTGGAGACCTCAAGGGTCTCAGAGAGGAAACTGACCAGGCCCGGTGTGGGAGGACACGGCCAACTGCCCGCTCCTGCTCCTGTTCACAGTCTACGGGGTGGAGCTGTTCCTGAAGGTGGCCGGCCTGGGCCCCGTGGAGTACCTGTCCTCCGGCTGGAACCTGTAAGTGACAGCATCTCTGAACCCTGCCTTGTGGGAGCCCCCACCCTCCCCACCCCCACAGGAGGGTGTGCAGCCAGGTCATGGCCTCTCCTGCTGCCTCGCCTGTGGCTCTGAGACTCCCAGGGCTGGGCTCTGTCTTCCCCTCGGGCCACCTAGCCCGCCCCTTCCTGCACACGCCCCCGGGGCCACCACGCCAGCACCTCCTGCACACGCCACGGGGTCCTGAGGCTGGTGGGCTCTTCGTGAGGCCTTTTTAAAAATATATATATTTTTATTGATTTCAGAGAGGAACGGAGAGTGGGAGAGAGAAACAAATATCCATGATGGGAGAGAGTCATGGGTCGGCTGCCTCCTGCACGCCCCACACTGGCATCCAGCCTGCAACCCGGGCATGTGGCCTGACCAGAATCGAACCGTGACCTCCTGGTCTGTAGGTCGACGCTCACCCACTGAGCCACACCAGCTGGGCTCTTCCTGAGGCCTCACCCTCCACACCGTCCCCCACACAGCTAAGCCCTTTTCCATAAAACCATGCCACCCACAGAAGGCAGGCCCAGCGCCTCGCCGGGCCCTCCTCCCTGCTCCCCTGCGGCCTCACGAGGGCCCTAGTGGCCCCTTAAGGAGGCCTCCCTGTGAAATCAGGCTACACTCACGAGGCCTGAGAGTCCAGCAGTCAGCCCGGGCCCCGTGCAGACCTGTAGGAAGGCCCTCGGCCGTGGTCAGGGCTCGCTGGCCTCCAGGTGGGGTCCCCTTGCCAGCCCTGCCCCTTCACTCGGTGACCTCGCCAGGGCAGGCAGTCAGCAGTATAGCCAGTGTCTGCCCTTAGGGCAGGGCAGGACCCTCCGGTGGGGGGGTGCCAGGTGTTTCTGACCCCCCAGACGTGTGCTGTGATGGCACCTGGCCATGCTGACCTCAGAAACCCGGCGTGGCAGGAAGCTGGGTCCCACCTGCCGGCCACGGGCCTCCGCGGGGCACACTTGCTTTGGCTGTGGTTGGCACGTGGGCTCCTGGGAAGGGCGAGCTGAGCCGGGGCCAGGACGCCAGCCGAGGGGCTGGAGGCCGGCTGGGCCCATGAACCCCTCTCCCTCCCTCTCCCTCCGAGGTTCGACTTCTCCGTCACAGCCTTCGCCTTCCTGGGCCTGCTGGCGCTGGCCTTCAACATGGAGCCCTTCTACTTCATCGTCGTCCTGCGTCCGCTCCAGCTGCTGAGGTGACGGGCAGGGCTGGGGTGGGGAGGGCAGGGAGAGCCTGGGAAGACTCACGAGCTGGGGTCGGGCCTGAGCCCAGGGCACGTCTCCTCTCCGCACTCACCAGGACCGGCCCCTGGCACTGTCGGGGGAGGCAGGGCTTGGGTGGGCGTGGCCTGTGGCGCTGGCTGCTGTGGCCACAGAAACACGGGCTCAACCGTCTTCAACCAGAAGGCAGCGCCATGAGGTCCAAAGGGGCTTTTGAGGGCCCCTTGCTTGTCGGGAACAGCCTCCTGTCGGGAGAAGCCCTCGCTCGGCCTCACCTCTCCCCCGGGTCACAGCAGCGCCCCTCCCAGCTGGGGGTGAGCCCTTTGCATCTTCAGGAGCCTGGCTTCCTCTTGACTACCAGCTGCGATCCCACACACGTCCACCCTCCTGCCCTGTCCATCTTGGGAGGAGAGGTGGAGGTTGGGTCCAGGGTGGCGTCCATCTGTAGCAGCACCTGCTGCTGTGCCCGGTTGTGGTGACCAGGCCGATGCCAGCTTCTCTCCCGCCACCACCGCCCTTTCCTCCCCCCTGAGCCAGGCTCTGGGCTTCCTGCAGCCTGGGCTCTGCTCCCTTCTCTCTCGTGTGCCTCCCTGGTTTGAGCAGGGCCTCGCCCGCCCTGAGCCTCCGGGCTGCGTTTATAAACTGTGAACAACCACGCTGCCCCCTCTCACCGAGGAAGACAGCACGGCTCTGGGTCCCAGCAGGGACTGGCCTGTCCGACCCCGTGTCCTGAGGGAGGGCCCTGGGCCTGCCTTCCACCTGGTGCTGTGGGGAGGCTGTGGCTGTGCCCGTGTCAGGACGTGACCCACCTCCTTCCTTGCTCAGGTTGTTCAAACTGAAAAAGCGCTACCGCAACGTGCTGGACACCATGTTTGAGCTGCTGCCCCGGATGGCCAGGTACTGCCCTGCCTGGGCCCAGGGCCAGGCGTCCTGCGGCTTGTGCCCCCTGGGGGTGGGTAGCGGGCGGGAGAGGGGGAAAGGAGTCCCGGAAAGGACGGATCGAGGGTCTGCGGGCTCTCCGAGGCGGCTGACCTCTGACAGCACAGGTCTCCCTGGCCCCACTCCCCTCTGCCAACCTGTGTGAGGTGTTAGTGGGGCGGGCAGGGAGCTGTCCCTCACTCACCACCTGTGTCTGTTCACAGGTAAGGGGTCACCTGTGAGTCCACCTTCACAGGTAAGGGGTGAATCTCCGCTCAGGGGCATCTGTTCAGAGTCCTCCTTCGAGCCGTGTTTTAGCCCAGACCCGAGTCACGAGGCCCCTTCCCTGCAGGCACTTCCCAGGCGGAGAACCTGGCTGGGGGCAGGCCTCCCCGCACCCGCTCCGTGGGTCAGGCGGGCTCTTGGCCGGCCCGCCGTCACTGTCTGCCCCTCCCACAGCCTGGGCCTCACCCTGCTCATCTTCTACTACTCCTTCGCCATCGTGGGCATGGAGTTCTTCTGCGGGATCCTCTACCCCAACTGCTGCAAGTGAGTACACGCGGGGCCTCAGGGCGTCGGGCCGGGCGGCACCGCCTCGCCTGGCCCAGGGCTCCTGGAATCGATCCCCTGGCGTTGCTTCCAGGGCTCAGGTCAGTCAGTAGCTAAGGGAGGGACCCGGAAGCAGTCTCTCTGCAGTGAGGGCATCTGAGCAGTTTCCCTGTCCCCAGGCCTCCATCAGCTCGCCCGTGGGGGCCGAGGGCTGCAGGCCTTGCGAGAACCAGGTGTGGCCTGGCCTGATCCCATGGCTTGCTTCCACGTCTCTCCAGGGACGGCCGGTTAGGATAAGACAGATGGACACCCATGGGAAGGTCTGAGGGGACGGCGTGGGGAGCCTGCCCCCCATGACCCCTCGCTCCCTCCTCCCAGCCACCAGGATGACAGCAGTGTCCTCTGCCAGTCAGTCCAATGTTCTCTTTAATACTGAGTCCTCCTGGCCTGGAGGCCGATAGAGAGATACCTTCGTAGACACTGGTGGCTGCTGAGTCAGGCTGAGCTGGGAGCCGGCCGCCGAGGAGAGCGGGTCACTGGCCTTCCCAGCCACAGGGCCGCTGCTTAGAAGTGCAGGTTCCAGGGCCGCCCTGCCGTCGGGTGCAGTGGGTGCCTGGCAAGAGGCTCAGACTTGCAGAAACATCGCATGGATTTTAACTGATGAGCCATCAGGGATTTAAATAAAAGCAGCCAGTCGGCTCTCAGAACAGAGGCAGCCACCTTGGAGAAGCCCTGGCCGGGGCCGGAGCCCTGGCAGGCCCTTTCCCCTCCCTGGTGCGGCCCTCACCCGCCGCGGCAAAGCCAGGGGGCCCTCCCAGCTGTGTCTCAGGGCGGCTCGGAGGGAGGAGGCCCAGCCGGCAGCAGAGTAATGCCCAGTGGAGGCGGGTAAGGGGTGGGGGGCTGGAGGCAGCGAGAGCAGAGAGGGGGGTTGCTGGGCAGGAAACAGGCTGGGCCAGGACAGTGCTTCCTGCTCACACCTTGGTTTCCTTTAACACTTTCTCCTGTTGGGGGGACCCGCTGTGTTGTGACGGTCCCTCCTGCCCGTCTCCCCACCAGCACCAGCACCGTGGCGGACGCCTACCGCTGGCGCAACCGCACGGTGGGCAACAGGACGGTCGTGGAGGACGGCTACTATTATCTCAACAACTTCGACAACATCCTGCGACAGGTTTGGTGAGTGCGGAGATCCCAGGGGATCACTCT